CACCCGGCCCCGCGCCCTGCCTGCCCTCCGCGACGCTCACGACGGCGACTAGCCCGTGCCCGGCCTCCCCACTCACTCGGCAGCGGGGGGAGAGGCCTCACGCGTGCAACCTCGGCGGCGTCAAGGACGGAAAGGAAGGCGCCGGTGCTGGGGGCGGGGATAATCCGCTACCCAGAAGCCTCCGGGACCTGCCCGCCGCGCCCCGTGCAGGCGCCTCCGAGTGACGTCACACGTGCTCAGCCAGCGAGGACGCCGGAAACGCCGTTGTCCCGTCCCGCACCACAAAGGCGAAGGGCAGTTCTGGGGCTGCCTTCTTGTATAGGATGGGGCGAGTGTCCCTCGAAGTCCCTGGGGGCTGCGGGGCGATGCGAGGCGCGAACCCGAAGTGCAGCGTTTCTCCCTCAGGGTTCCCAGGATGCCGCGCGGCGCCTACAGCTCCCAACATGCAGCGCGGCTTCCACGTCCCGGTCACATCTCTGCTGGAGCAGCCGACGAACTACAAGTCCCATGGTGCATTGCTCCCGGAAGTGCGGCTGCGCCACAGCCTGAGCGGGCCGCACGTGGCCCGAGCGCAGCTGCTCTGGTCCGATCCGCGGGCCTTCCGGCTCTCCGGTGGTTCCCGCCCGCTGACCGGTGAGGGCTGGTGGCGGTCTTGCCCAGCCTGGCCCAGTGAGGTAGGCGAGCCTTTCCGCGAGCTCACACCGCGGGATCGAGCCGCTGCTCCCATCCAGGGCCATGGCGGGGGCCTCGGGCGAAGCTGGAGGCCCTGTCACCGCAGCCGCCCCGAGGAGTGGAGCCAGGAGTCCCGACAGCTGCGTGACCTGCCCCCGCCTTGGCCCTGTCGGCTCCGAACTGGCCTCAGAGTTCACGCGGACACATCACACGTCACTCATTCACTCCTCCGTGTCAGGGGCCCTGCTGCAGGCTGGCGTCTGTCCTGAGAGGGAACAGGCCCAGTTCTGCTTGCGCGGAAATTAGGTTCCAGCGCGCAGACACACCAAGTCAATAAACGAGGCCGTCCCAGGCTGAGATAGACCCTGAGGGAAGAGGCGGCGACACGGAGCTGAAGGATAGGAAGGAGCCGGCCCTGCGAAGATCTGGGGCGAGCCCAGGCCAGCGGGATCAGATGCAAAGGCCCTGAGGTGGTCGGAGGTGTGTCCAGAGGCAGCAACCAGCCCATGCGGGCTCAGACGACAAGGGGAACCCACGTGTGTAGCGCATCAAGCGCTAGTGCGTTAACTAACACACACCATACAGCACCCCCATTATATAGATGAACAGGTCAGGCACAGAAAGGCTTTCCCGCTCAAGGTCACACAGCGGGGCTAAAGTGGGGAAACCGTCTGGCGAGGATGTGACTTCATTGCCATCACACAGGGAGGTGGCATGTTGTGATTGTTCTCATTTTTGTTGACAGTAAAATAATCCATAACATAAAACTTACCGTTTTACTCCTACAATTTAGCGGCATTAGGAGCATTCACACTGTTGTACAATCCACCATCTGTTTCCAGAAGTTTTTTTATCTTCTCAAATTGAACTCTACCCATTAAATGGTAACTCCGCATTCCCCTCCCCCAGCCCCTGCACATCCCCACCTCCCCATTGTACTTTCTGTCTCTGGTATTTGATTGCTTTAGAGACCTCCTGTAAGTGGAAACACACAGCACTTGCCTTTTTGTATCTGGCTTATTTCATTTACTGTAATGCCCTCAAGGTTTATCCACATTGTAGCCTGTGTCAGGATGTCACTCCTTTTTAAGACTGAATGATGTTCCTGTGATGAATTTTTTGGTTTTGTTTAATTCTCCTGATAGCTCTGTGGAAACTGAATGGGGAAAAAGAGCTGGGGAGAAAGGAGGCCTGGCAGAAACTGCCCATCCTGGTGAGAGGGATGTTGGGAGCTGGGGAGGCTGGAGGAAACAGTGCAGTGCGTACCATGTGATTCGGGGGCAGAACAGGCAGAAGAGGGTGTGTTCACGTGTTCCTTTCCAGGGCACCTGCTCTGCGGGGTTAGGACAAGATGCAGGCACGAGTGGGGAATGCTTTCTTGAGGGCCAGACAGACCTGGTTTGTGGCCCTTGGCTTCAGCACTCACCAGCTAAGAGGCGTTGGGCAACGTCCGAACTCCCGGAGCCTCCTTTTCCTCTTTTGTGAGTTGTAGCAGAGAAGGACTGAAGGAGGCGCAGCACGTGGGGAAGCCAGCTGCTCGGGACATCTGGCCCAGAGTGGTAGTCCATAAAGTGGGGTCACTGGAGCTGGGGGTCGGGCTCTGCAGGGCTTGAGAGGAGGCCCTTGGGGCTGGCTGGGGACATTCTGAGAGCTCTTGTCTTCCAGCAAGAGGTGGGTATGGAGCAGCAATGGCGATCAGCCCCCAATACCCACTGCGACCGAGATCGCACCGGCTAATTTTGACACGGGGCCAGGAATGCAGAGTCCAGGAGCAGAGCGGGCCTGAGGGGCCAAGAACCTCTGGGAGGGCGGCACGGACGCTTGCGGCCTGGCAGGAAGTTGAGTGCAGCGGGGCGGCGACTGGCAGAGGGAAGGCAGGGCGGGAAGGACCCTGAGGCCTCCGCTTTCGGACCCCGCCGCGAGAGGCGCGCTTCTG